GTCACTGATTCATTTGCAACACTTCCAGTTCTCTTTCACGTCTCTAAACACTAAAACCACACTTGTTTATTATACACTTTCTTGTAATTTCATGTCTGATTCTGTAGACTAGTTAGTACTGACTCTCAGTCAAATGTGGTTTGTTTCCTGACATATTTATTTTATCATGAGTGTGTATGTGGTTGGAATTCAACTTCGGGAATCCTACAGGATCAAGACTGAGATGATTTCTCCTGGGTACTAACTACTATGAAGCTGTACCAGCCTGAAAACATCTTAAATTAATTTCTTGGATTGGGGTTCTCAGACTGAGTAGGTGTAATTTCAAACTGCAAGAATGTATCAGGTTAAGGCCGTGATATGTCATTAAATACCAATAGTATTAATATTATTGAAATTTTCCCCAGTACCATCAGAATGGCTTTCCGGTTTGTCCAGTTGTCAACATGCAGATTTTTCTAACTTCCCCTTTTCTAAGGAAAACACGGGCTTTTGAGCTATAGCTTTAAGTGTGGCATCAAACTCAGCTACAACGCTTGGTTTGGTTCAAGTCTTATTCCTCATTGCGGGGCTTAACCAGAAAATCTGTTTCTGTTCTGAGCACATGTCCAGGAGAGCCCAAGCTTCTGTTTGCTCACCGCTCATGTTTCAGCTCTCTGTTTTTCATCTCTTTGTTACTTTCTGTTTTTTAATGACTTCCTTTATTTTCTTTTGAGCTTAGCAATGAATTTAAAGGACATTCACTATTAACTTATCCAGCATGCAGTTATTTTGTGGTGGAAGGGCATTTCATAGTATCTAGACTTGTTTAACTGCCAGACATGAAAACAGAGTGTCTATTTTTCAAATTGGATTCTGTATCAACTTTATTTGTAAATTTTACAGTGAAACCTCTGCTGTACATTTGGAATTTTTTTCTTGGCTATTTTTTTTTATTAATTTTTACTTTTTATCAAACTAATGAATGCACTGTTTTAAAAGTCAAATGTGCTAAAAGTAAAAACAAAACACAGCAGTCTCTTGTTCCCAACCTTCTCCTACCTGCTTTCCACAGACAACCACTTAAAACTCGTTAGCTATTGCTTACAATCTTTATTCCTATATATTTAAAGAAATGCTTTATTCTATAGTGTCTGACTTCCCTATCACTAAATATAGTGATATTTACATTCCGTATCAGTTTTGGACATAATATATTGTCCTCTTACAAGGAAGTTGAGAGTTTAGCTTTTGCCACCTTTCTCCTCTTCCTAATATAGCTATCCCATAATATGCAGTCAAATCATGTTCAGTATTTTCATCATTACAACAAAGTAAATATTGTTCATTGTTGTGTTGAGCGGTATAATCTAATGGTATTTTCTTGTACAACTTTTTGTTCACACAAGCAATATTTTTCCAATTTTTTTACTAACCTGGTTTCCTATGTATCTTAGTCTCTTTCTTACATGCCCAAAATCATCAGTCATTTTCATCTATCCCCTAAAGACCTTACACTTGGAACCCTCTAGCCTCCTATCGAATATGGACTGTGTTTTTTAGACCTGCTACCCCATTACCACAGGGGACATTCATTCACTGCCCTTTTGTATGGAGACCCCATTTTTTGGATCCTAAGGTTTCCCATTTCTTGTCTGTGTTTCCCTCTAGTGACTTCCTAACAAAGTGTGCAAGGAAAGTCTTTTTTTTTTTAGAGCATTCATGTCTGGAAAATATTTTTATTCCACTCTCACATGTGATTAATTGTCAAAGTAGAGAATTTTAGTTTGGACATCCTTTTCAGTGAACACGCTGAAGGCACTCTTTACTGATGTCGCGGCTTCCAGGGTGCTTCCGAGTCCAGAGCCCCCTGATTTCCCCACCCTTGGATGTGTGGTGTCTGCTCTCCTGACCCTTCAGGTGTCCTCTTTCTCTCCATGGTTCTCTGCAGGATCACAGGCACGGGCCTTCCTGTGGCTCTTTTTTGTTACTCACAGTTCTTGGTTGTCTCAATGTAGAAGCCCAGTCCTTCTGTTCTGAGTAGTACTATCAAGTATGTTTATAAAATAATTCATTCATCACTTCTCCCTTCTGTCTTTCTGGGAGACCCACTTAAGGTTGTTCTTCTTGGACTAAGACTAATTTTCTAAGCTTTTCTTTTACCTATCTGTTTGCCCTTTGTTCTACTCTTGGGAAGATTTTTTTTTTTAAGTTTATTTGCCAGCCCATCTGTTGAATGCTTATTTTGGAGGTTGATTTTAATTCTAAGAGCACTTTCTTTGGTTCTCCTGTTCAATTGTAATGATAGTCTACTCGTGTTTAAAATATGCAGAATTTTTGTCATCGCTAAGGATCTTCATTACAGGTAGTTTCTTTTTTAAAGTTTTCTTCAGCTTCCTTTATTGCCTCTCTTTTCTGGATGCTGTTTTTTGCTGCTTTCTTTGAGTCTTTGTCTTTCATTTGGAAATCAGTGTTATTTAATACACAGTGAGTTTTGAAATTCCATTCACCTTCAAGAGTAAGACCTTAAATATTTGGAGGCTTTGTGTATGTGTGTTTTTCACTCCAGGGTGGTTGTGTGCTGAGCGTCCTTTTGTGGGAGACACTAATATCTGCATCTGGAGATCTTTTCTCAGGATTCGTCACCCAACACCCAGAGCTGGCTACACAACTTTCAAGGCAAAATGTTGGGCCCTTCGTTCAAAAGTCAGAAAAAGGTTCATTATAGGTACCAAAACATAAATATTTATTCTTTAAAAACTTTTTAAAACTTTAAAAACATATTATTACTTATGTGGTAGAGATAATAGTGGTACATATAATACAAATCTATAAATTGCAAAAAACATTTTTGATGTAACCTTATGTAATACAGTAAATTATAATGCTTTATTAATGTGATTTCTGAATGGATCAACAGACTTTTCTCACTTGCTTTTCTGCAGATTCAGAAAATTTATGTTGTTAGCAATTTTATTTTTCTGTAATTGAAAGTGATGTCAGCTGTTCTTGGCCAATGCAAGATCTCAACTAATCACAAATGGAGAAAACAACATGAACAAAGACAAAAAGGGAGGGAAAAGAAGAGCAGTAAAACAAAAGAATGGACAAATCGGGTAGAGAGGACCTGCATCTTAGAAAGTCTTAAATGCCAAGCAAAGGAGCTTCAGCTAGCCTATAGTCAATGAATTTCAACTGGAGAAGAGAAGAGAAAGGAAAGATGTATTTACTGACTACATGTTATTGACAAACATGTTTCTTTACATATTTAATGACCATTGAATAGCCTTACAACAGCACAAGTTATGTCTCCATCTTAGAAATGAAAAAACCAAGGCTCATTCAGAGAGAATGAACTTTTCATTGGTCACACAGCTAGAAAATGGCAGAAATGGGGTATGAATGCTCATATGTCAGATTCAAGAGCCCATGTTCATTCAATTACACGAATAGTGTGGTACTTCAAGAATGGCACCTTGGCCTACTGACCATGGTGGAAAGGAAAAAGACTTGAAGCCAAAAACCCAATTAAAGTTCTAGCAGTTGAGCTGAAAGAAAATGATAGTAACAAGAAAAACAGAAAGGAGAAAAATGCTCCAAGAGACACTGCAGAAGGACATTCAGTTGGACCTAGTGACTTACTGGATGACAGCAATGAAAGATTTCTTAGTAATGTGGAGAATGATCATGGTAATTCTACCAGTGAGTAACGAAGAAAATGCAAAAGATCAAAGTTCAAAGACATGGCAATTGAATATTGAGCTGGTAGTCATGACAGAACATCCAAGCAGAAATGTCTGGTGAGCAAGTAAGATGTGGGTCTGGAAAGGGGAAGAGGCTGATGCTAAAGATGTGCATTTAGAAATACACAGAGAGACAAAGCCTCAAGAAGGGATGACATCACCAAGGAAGCGTGTGTAGAAGACAAGACCACCAAGCCCAAAACTATAACATGATAAAATTCAGAGCACAGAAGCTATTCATGGAAGAATAAAGAGGAGCAAACAGAGATATACAAGTATTCTCAGAAGGCAGTTATTTAAAACTCAGTTAAGACTAGGGTGATCAGTATCAAATATGTCCAAGAGGGTGTAGGAGAATAAGTATGAGAAATGGTGACTAGATTGGAGATGTCAGATAATTAGCAATCTCTGAGAGATTAATTTCAGTAATGTGGTGAGACCAAAATTCAGAAGTGAGTAGGATAGGAAGGAAAGAAGTGGAGGAAGTGAATGCAAAACAGTTTTCTAGAAATATGAAAGGAAGAAATGCAAAAATACAAGAAATCTAGAAATAGAGAGGGGACCTACAGGGCATAGTCTAGTCTTTTCATTTTATAGATGAGGAAACTGAGGCCCAGGAAAGTTAAGCAATTTTACCTAAACTGGCTAGAAAGAGAACCTAGACAATCAGTACAGATGAAATGGTAACTCAGGAGAGATAAGGATCAAGGGAAGAATTTCTGTCTCCAAAGAAAAGTCCATATAATTCCTTAATTTTTATTTAGAACCTGGCCTCCTTCCTCCGGCGTCATGAGCCCATGGTCTTGAAATTATTTTCAACATACCTGAAAGAAAGGGCATATTATCCACTGAAAACCATGAATATGATGCCTCACTTGCCAGAGAAAATGTAGTGTTGGTTTGGACAAGGAAAAGAAATTTGTGTATCATACTTTTTATTCATAGGAATTTTATAGTCCTAAAGCCTGGAAGACAGGAAGGATTACTCATACTAAATTTGAAATGCATCACTATAATAATCTGGATAATACTCCTCCTTGTCCCATTTCGGAGATAACAAATAACCCCAAGGTAAGTATCCACCTACCAAAATGGACACAGTAGGGTAAAGACATTCATTAAAAACAAAACAAAACACCCAATTACGAATAATTCATGATGAGCTGGCAAACACCATTTTGCTATGGGGAGCAAAGTTCATCACGAAACACCCTGATAATGTGTATAAAAAGACAAACTGTCTGAGTAGGACATTCGCCATCAGAGGTTCACTCCAGGAACAAGCTCTCCAGACAGGACACCATGTCTGTGCGCCTCTCTTCTGCATCCAGACGACTTGGCCCTTGCGGGGGAGCAGGCTCTGTGCGGCTGTCTAGTGGGGGAGCAGGTTTGGGGGCCGGAAACACATGCGGATTGCCAGGTATTGGAAGCAGCTTCTCTTGTGCCTTTGCGGGAAGCTCATCTGCAGGAGGCTATGGCGGGGCTCTAGGCACGGGGGGTGCCTCCTGTGCTGCCTACCTGGGCAATGAACACGGCCTCCTCTCTGGCAACGAGAAGGTGACCATGCAGAACCTCAACAACCGCTTGGCCTCCTACTTGGAGAATGTGCAAGCCCTAGAGGAGGCCAACGCTGACCTGGAGCAGAAGATCAAGGGGTGGTATGAGAAGTTTGGGCCTGGTTCTTGCCGAGGTCTTGATCATGATTACAGCAGATTCTTCCCAATAATTGATGACCTTAGGAACCAGGTAAGAAACAATGTCATGAGGGTTAATGTAAGAGTTCAGCCACACACATCCATGCAAATGTAAAAGCTATCATACACAACAGGGCTTTGTTCTCAGCTTCGAATGTTTGGTAGTTCATCATTATTATTAAAATTCTCATCTTTGAACATGGTTCACCCATCATCTGGTATCTGGAATGTATGTTTATGCTTTTAGTAATATTAAAATATAAAAACGGCCCAATGTCTCCAGCTATAGATTTATAAACTGTTCCATAGACAGATTTTTTTTGATAGGTGGGGTAGAGAGTAAAAGAAGCTATACTTAAATGTGTCATTTTCAAAAGAATCACATTATTGGAGACAGAATATCAGAAATATCACTATAATTTCATAGGTGACTTATTTCAAGGAAATTAGACATAAAAAAAATTCCTCTTAACTAACTCTCCATTTATCAGATAATTTCTGCAGCTACAAGTAATGCCAATGTGGTCCTACAAAACGATAATGCAAGACTAACAGCTGATGACTTCAGACTAAAGTAAGTAGAGATGGAGAGAAATCAACGTTATCTAAGCATTTCCTTCTTTTATTTAGGCTATTTGAGATCAACTCAATCCTTTGATTTTGTTTTAAACCAAGGGTAAGATTAGATGACTAGCTGAATTACATGTTTTACTCAGGAAAGTTGGAGGCTGACACAAATGTATGTCATAATTATATAAAAGAATGTTGTGAGTATTCCCATTCTCTTCAAAGATTTTTATTTATTGCATTTTGGTCGATCCAACTGAAGTTATGAGTATATTTTAACAGTTTGACCTCAAAGCTTAATTTGAGTGTTATGATGGCCTAAAATGGGTGTGACCGATGTACTGAAACTCTCAAATGCTCCCTAAGGTTTGAAAATGAACAGGCCCTTCACCAGAGCGTTGACGCGGACGTGAGCGGTTTGCGCAGGGTCCTGGATGAGCTGACTCTGTGCAGGACCGACCTGGAGATGGAACTGGAAACACTGAGCGAGGAGCTGGCTTATCTCAAGAAGAATCACGAGGAGGTAGATGCTCCATTTCCCCCGATTTCACAGTCCACCTCCCTCCTGAAAGTTAAGTCAATATTCAGGAAGGAGCTTGTCTTTCTCTCCAAAAGGCTTAGATGTTTGAAATGTTTCTGTTCATCCCCCTCCAAAGAACAAGCCCTAAGAAAAGTTTCTGACCATATGAACCATGTCTGTCTGGCTCCTTTAAACATACACAGATCCTCACGTGGTAAACCAAACATCTTGCAGGACATGAAGGCTCTGCAGTGCGCGGCCGGAGGCCACGTGAACGTAGAGATGAACGCGGCGCCCGGGGTGGACCTCACTGTTCTGCTGAACAACATGCGGGCGGAGTACGAAGACCTGGCCGAGCAGAACCGCAGGGACGCGGAGGCCTGGTTCCACGAGAAGGTAAAACCAGGCTGGGCCACGCTTAGGTGGCACTGGGTGCCAGGGCGCGCTTGGCCCTAATGGGGCTTCTAACGTTCCAGAGTGCTTCGCTGCAGCAGCAGATTTCTGACGACGCTGGTGCCACCACCTCAGCTCGGAATGAGCTGACTGAGATGAAGCGAACTCTTCAAACCCTGGAGATTGAACTTCAGTCCCTCTTAGCGATGGTAAGTCAATTACAGAGGCTTGCTTTAGAAGTGGATAAAAAAAGTGATTTCTTCCACATGGCATTACTTATTTTCGTTTTTATCCATTAATTATTGTGCTTGAAGTAAGATACATTTGCATTTTGCACAGAAGCATCCTCTTTGCCTGAAAATTATATGTAGGTGCCAATAATTATGAAACATAGAAATGTTATCAAATACAATTACTTTTTGGTACTCGGGGAAAAAAAAGTCTACCCTAAATCTTCTATCAAGTTAAAAGATCAGAAACCACCCTCCATGGAGTACAAAAATACATTTGCACTCCTCCTAGCCTCTTCATCTGGCATTCCTTCTGGCCACTTAATTAAGAGCACTTAGAAGCTCCTTATCAAGTGGCATAAACGAGAAGCAAAGGATAGGCATGAAAGTTGCGTATAAAGCCAAACACACATAATGATAAGAACAACCTTCGTCATTAAGGGTTTGCCCATGACTTTCATCCCCATGAGTCCACAGTAATCCTGGGGCTTGGGCAGGCAGGCTTAATAATACATGTCATTATTTCCAAAAGAAGAATCTGAGATTCAAAGAAGTTAAGCAATTTTCACAGAGTCCCACAGTGGAATATGAAGGAACCAGAACTTCTCTCCCAAGTTTCTAACTCCCAAATCTATATACTTTTTCCACTCTGGCTAAGAAACCTCCGCAATTTGCCCACAGAAGAAGTTATGAATGTATATAAAATTAGGGCTTTCTATTAAAAATCTTGCAGATGAAAGGCTGACACTGTTATCTTCAAGCCATGTAAAATTACAGCCCACATCCCTCTGTTCTATGGGAAAAGTCCATGGTATTCATAAGCCAATGAGGCAAACCAAAGCCTAAAAATGTCATTTTTTTGTTTGGGTCATTCTGCTACTGGAAAGTTTATGCAACTCACTATAGCATTAGTTTTTAACAGAAGAGCTACAATTCTCATGAGACACAGCTGTCATGTGATTAGAAATGAAGTAGCAAAGTGTAAGGGACTTTTTTCCTGGGGAAAGTGGCAGATCACATCAGATTCTACAAGCGCAGGTTGTATGGTTGAGGCCATGGGGCTTCTCCAGGCTGTGCTCTAGAAGAAACAACTTCATCTTTGCTAATGGTCCTGGCATATGATAATATTCACCAACAACTGTATTGTTTTCAAATAGAAAAATAGTATGACATCTAATAAAGGCAACAATTAATATTGAGCAAGTGGAATCCTTTGGGTAAATATGATTATTTGCATTATGTGAAGATAACTCTTAAACATCTCTTGAGTGCAGTCGCCTTATTCTAAAGCAACACTGAGACATTTTTCACTAAACTATGTCTTAATCGTTCACAGAAACACTCCCTGGAGTGCTCCCTGACCGAGACCGAAGGCAACTACTGCGCGCAGCTCGCCCAGCTCCAGGCTCAGGTCGGTGCCCTGGAGGAGCAGCTGCACCAGGTCAGAACCGAGACCGAGGGCCAGAAGCTCGAGTATGAGCAGCTCCTCAACATCAAGGTGCACCTGGAGAAAGAGATTGACACCTACTGCCTCCTCATCGGTGGAGATGATGGGTAAGTACTACTTCCATTGAGAAAACAATGTAAGGTTATTAAAGATTTTTTTAAATCAAGTACATAGTATTTATGAGCTACATCAAGCATACAAAGTAAAACCACTTCTGGTGTTTAAGAATCCATTGATCTCCCAGCTTAAATCATTGTTTTTCAGTTTCTGCAGCCAAACAGAGTGAAATAATTAACACAAGCTTTCTATATTTTTACAGTTCTTGTGTTAAATCAAAAGGCTATGGAGGACCAGGAAATCAGATAAAAGGTAAACAAAAGCTATGTTGGGCATTCAGTGTTTATTTGTTTATGTTTCAAGTGAAGAGTTAATTATTTCCCCATTACGTATTTGATAAATTCTAACACTCCATATGTACCATTTTAGATTCACCTAAAACCACCGTGTTTAAAACAATTGTTGAAGAAATAGATCCTTGTGGCAAAGTTCTCTTATCCAGAGTTCGCACTATGGAAGAGAAATCCACCAAAATCAACAACATGAAGAGTGAACAGAGGGTGCCTTCCTGAACTCCGAAAAAATGGCCCCTAAATTAAAATACCAAATTAAAACTAGGTTCCAAAATAAGGGCCCTCTTACTTTTCTGCTTTTCTTCCAATGAATAAGACAATCTGTTTTAGAATAGTGACATTTCCTTGGCTTTTTCTATGGTGGTGTTTCAATAAAAGTTCTTCCTGTTGCAAGTCATCTTCACTGGTTCTGGTCAATCTTTGCATGTTAAACATACCCCACAATGGAAGCTGGATTTGTTTTAATTGCTTCTGTTTAATTCAGTTAGGATTAAGTTTTACAGGCAAACTACTTTTTCACGTCTTTATAAAATTTTAAATCTTTTCTTCTATAAATCCTTATTAAGCACACCTAAGTGCTCATAATGAGAATAAAAACAGTTAATATAATCTAATACCTGAGTGCAGCATGTTCATAGAAGTGGTAGTATGGAAATGGGAATTAGAGAATCCAAAACATCCTAAAAATAAAGAAAAAACAACTATCACTATAAATGGTGATACTTGAAGGAAAACGGGAAAAGAGAGAAATAGGGATTAGACAGGGCAAGTGTGGAATTTCGCATTAGGCCACCAAAACAAGTCTTAACAATTAAGAAGACTGGAATCATATCAAGTATCTTTTCCAACCATAACAGTATGAATTAGAAACCAATAACAGGAGGAAAGCTGGGATGTTCAAAAATATGTAGAAATTAAGCACTCTCCTAAACAACCAAAAGGTTAAAGAAGAAATCAAAAGGAAGTAAAAAAATATCTTGAGACAAATGAAAATGAAAATAAAAGATACCAAAACATAAAGGTTGTAACAAAAGCAATATTAAAAGGGAACTTTATGTTGAAAACTGCCCACATTAAGGAAGAAGAAAGATCTCAAATAAACAATCTAACTTTCCAAATCAGGGACCTATAAAAAGAATGAACTAAGCCCAAAGTTAGCAGACTATAGAAGGAAGTAATAAAAAACTAGAGAAGAAATAAAGAGACTAGAAAAAACACAGAAAATATTGGTTTTTTGCAAACCAGAAGTTGGTTTTTTGCAAAGATAAAATAAACAAATCTTTAGCTAGACTAACCAAGAAAAAAAGAAGATGCAAATAAAATCATAAATGAGAAAGACATTACAACCGATACCAGAAATGTCAAGGATCCTAAGAGAATACTAGAACATTTAGATGCCAACAAATTGGACAGTCTATAGAAGACATGGATAAATTCCTAGAAACATGCAGCCAACCAAGACTAAATCATGAAGAAATAGAAATCTGAACAGACCAATAATGAGATGAATCAGTAATCAAAACCCTCTCGAAGGAAGCACAGGTACATTCTACCACTGGTGGTGCATTTCACTGGTGCATTCTACCACTTAATGAAGAATTAATGCCAGTCCTTCTCAAACTCTTCAAAAAAACTGAAGAGGAGGGAACACTTCCCAGTTCAGATTATAAGGTCGGCCTTACCCTGATACCAAAGCCAGAAAAAGACACTACAAGAAAAGATTTATAGGCCAATATTCCTGATGATCATAGATGCAAAAATCTTCAAGAAAATTCTAGCAAATCAAATTCAACAGCACATTTAAAGGATCATACACCATGATCAAGTGGGATTTATCCCTGGGATGCAAGAACTGTTCAACATACACAAATCAATAAATGTGATACACCACATTAACAGAAGGAAGGGTAAAAATCATATGATTATCTCAATAGATACAGAAAAAGAATTTGACAAAATTCAACACCTTTTCGTGACAAAAATGCTCAACAAATTAAGCATAGAAAGAATGTACCTCAACATAATAAAGGCCCTCTGTGACAATCCTACAGATAATATCATACTCAAAGGTGAAAAACTGAAAGCTTTTCCTCTGTATCAGGAACAAGACAAGGATGTTCAATCTTACCACTTCTAGTCAATATAGAGAAGTCCTAATCAGAGCGATTAGGCAAGAAAAAGAAGTAAAAGTCACCCAAATCGGAAAGGAAGAAGTCAGATTGTCTCTATTTGCAGATAACATGATAGAAAGCCCTAAAGACTTAACCAGAACTAACTAATTATGAACTAATAAATGAGTATGGCAAAGTTGCAGAATACAAAATCTTCATAAGCCAGTTGCATTTCTATACACTTACAACAAATTATCCAAAAAAGAAATTAAGAAAACAATCACATTTCCAAAAGCATCAAAAAGAATGAAATATTAGGAATAAACTTAACCACAGAGGTGAGAGACTTGTACACTGAAACACTAAAAAAGAATGTAAAGCACACACAAGTAAATGGAAAAGCATCCCATGTTCATGAATTGGAAGAATAAATATTGTTGAAATGTTGATACTACCAAAGTAATCTATAGATTCAATGTAATCCCTATCAAAGTCCCAATGGCATTTTTTACAGAAATAGGAAAAACAATCTTAAAATTCATATGGAAACACAAAAGGCCCTGAAGAGCCAAAGCAATTTTGAGAAAAAACAAATCATACTTCCTGGTTTCAAAATATATTGCATAGCTACATTAATTAAAACAGTATGGAAGAAACACAAATGGTCAATAAGCACACAAAAAGATGCTTAATATCATTAATCAAGGGAAATGCAAAGCAAAACTACAGTGAGATACCACCTCATACCCATTAGAATGGCTACTATGAAAAAAATAGAAAATAACAAGTGTTAGCCAGTACATCAAGAAATTACAGTCCTATTGCACTATTGCTACTGTTGCTGTGAATGTAAAGTAGTATAGCCACTGAAGAAAATAGTTCTTCAAAAAAGTGGCAGTTCTTCAAAAAATTAAAAATAGCACTACCACATGATCCAGAAATTCCATTTCTGGGTAAATTCCCAAAAGAATTGAAAACAGGGTCTTGAAGAGATATTTGTATCATGTTCACAACAGCATTATTCACATTAACTAAAACATGGGAGCAACCCAATTAACCATCAATGGATGAATGGATATGCAAAATGCGGTCTATACAATGGAATGTCATCAAGTCTTTAAAAGGAAGGAAATCCTGACATATGCTACAACACAGATGAACCTTGAAGTCATTATGTTAAGTAAAATAATCCAGTCATAAAAAGACAAATACTGTATGATCCCACTTGAATGAGGTTCCCAGAATAGTCAAATTCATAAAGAAAGTAGAATGGTGGTTGCCAGGGGTTGGGAGAGGAGGGAGTGGGGAGTTACTGTTTAATGGGTATAGAATTTCAGTTTTACAAGATGAAAACAGTTACAGATATGGACCGTAGTTGCACAACATCATGCAAGTATTTAACGTTACTAGATTGTACAGTTAAAATTGGTTAAACCAGTAATGTTATGTTCTGTGTGTTTTACCATAATAAAAATTTTGAAAAAAAAGAAAACAGTATAATAGTGGCATAAAGACAGACACAGGCCAATGGAACAGAATCGATGGCCCAGAAATAAACCCACACATACACAGTCAACTGATCTTTGACAGGAGGGCCAAGCATACAAATTGGGAAAGGATGGTCTCTTCAACAAAACTGAGAAAACTGAATATCCCCAAGTAAAAGGATGAAATCGGACTCCTATCAAACAGTATACGCAAAAATCGACTCAGAATAAAGACCTAAACATAAGACCTGAAACTGTAAAACTCTTCAAAGAAAACATAAGAGAAAGCTTCTTGACACTGGTCTTGGCAGTGATTTCTTGGATTTGATAGCAAAAGCAACAAAGAACAAAACTGAAGATATATTCAGGACTTTTTAACATAACTTCCAGAAAAGAATAATAGTGATACTCAGCACTGTTAGACTTATTCTAAGCATCATTTGTTTAATTCTCATAACAACCCTATGAGGTAAGTACTATAATCATCCTCTTTTTACAGATAAGGAAATTGAGGCAGAAAGTGGTTGAGTGATTTGCCCAGGATCACCCAGCTAATAACTGGAGCTGCTGGAATGCTAATCCAGGCAGTCTGGCTCGGAGTCTGTGTGCTCAGCCACATGATATCGTGCTGGTGAGGACCTCATGATTCCACCTTCTTCTATCAAGAGAAGGGATACATACAAACACTAAGTGCATTCTAACTCCAATCAGTCTGAGATGAAGCAGTCACTGGAGTTTCCTTCCCAAACAAACCCGGGAAGCCATTTTGCAGGAGGGATTAGCACACCAGAATCTGATTCTCAGAAAAACTAGGAATCTAGTGACAAAACAAACCTCCTTCATGTTTAAGAAAAAGACTTTTCTAAACTTGGCTAACAGAAATGGAGACTGAATTTTAAACAATGGCCAAAGATACTGAAGTATGTTTGAAATTGCACGCTAAATTTAACAGGGGGAAAATTAGTGTATGATCATTAAAATAAAATAACATAATACAAACCTTTACCCTGAGATGAGCAGACATTAACACAGCATAATTTAAAATTTAAATTATTTTTCATACCTACAATATATACATTATATAATGAATGTTCTAATATCTAACAGATTTTCAAGAAATGATGATAGCTGAATACTTGTTTTTTACCATACGTAAAATAACCACTCTTAGGGAAGAAATATATAGAAAGAAATGGCCTGAGAATTTGTGAAGTCTATCCCCCATTTCCAGAAAGGACTAAAGCATACCTAAATGTTCATAGTATGTATTAGTTTGGAGGAAATCTATGATTAAGAAAAGTCAAGAGATTTGACCTTTTAAGTAAACGGATATGATTTAAGAAAGAGTTAAGCATCATACATTCCAGTCCTGCTTTGAAATAAAAATGCTTTGTGATCTGTGTGGCCACATAGCTTCAGAGCCAACTCATCTCCAAACTGGTTTTAATAATATATGCTGTAACTTATTTCACAAAAGATTATGTTAATTAGTATTTATAAACTAGAGATAAATAGCTTATGTTAATAATATTTTGCAGTCTCATAATACCTCTTTTCCAAGAAACTAAAGACTTACAAACAATTAGACAATATACTGTATTTTTATTTTATCCATGGACAAAAGATTAAAATTTTTCACAAGGTCACAACAAAATCAATAATAAGCTTTGAATATGAGCTGCATCTCTTAACTTACCATGTATTGTTCTAAACATGTACCAACGGTCTGAATTACAATTTTATATTATCTCTAAATATTTTGGGTCAAAAAAATACATGCATTCTAGCCCATCAAATGATATTTCATATCGGTTAGAGATAATAATTTTGGAGTTTTTCAAA